CAGGTTTCGAAAACACGCAGAGTCTGATAGCGCGGGTTCAGGGAGAGCCGCGTATTGGGGAGGCAGTGTCTCGTGGATCGGTCCAAGAAGCTTCCGAAATCTCCCTGCGAACTGGCAAAGTGCCAGGGCCAAATGCTCTCTGTGTTCAAATCAGGCCACGGCAAACAAATGTGAAGGCGGGAATATGGGAAACAAATTATCCTTGGGTGCTTAGTGGAGGGTCGGGAAAGATAAAGCCACATTCTTCTCTTGGCTCCTTTTATGGCGCCCCGGGAACAATAAAGCAACCTCCCGGGAAATCCTTACAAAGTTGCCAAGCTGAAGATAAGGGACCCCACACAAATATCATAAAAGAACAAAACAGAGAAAGCTGACCAATTTCGAATAGTGCCTGCCGCGTCTTTTTTGCGCTGCTCCCGTTGATAAGCGATCTGTGCTGGTAAAAAACGGCACGCTTTCCCTCAAAGGGGGCAGTGCTGCTCAGGTTCTTTTCATTGGAGGTTTGCCCATTTGGCCAGCTGACTCCAATTGCCCAGCCCAGTGCCCAAGAGAAATGCCTTTTCCCAGTAGAAACTTTGAGGGTCCCCACCAAACAAAAATAACCCCTCGCTTGCCCAAAGGACCTGGAAATACAAGGTACACCTTTTGGGACCTATACTAAAATTGGGCCAAAAAGGAAAACCAAAAGGTGACCGTCGCCCCAAGTGACATGAGCGATGCCAAGGGTCCCCCACCCAGCGCCGTAACAAAGCCGATGAAGACACAGCCAAAGAGGTCCATCTGCTCCTCAGGCACGAAGCATTTTGGGTACCCCAAACTGAATCCATAATTTTGAGTCATGTGTCCTGGAATCTTGACATGTTAGATCCAAAAGTGCGATGAAGTGCTTAAAGCGTGTTGGGTACCCCAAACTGGATTCAAGATTCAGTTTCTAGAGTCTTGGGAATCTTGAATCTTAGATCCACAAGTGCATTGAAGAGATGTAAAGCGTCTGTCATTCCTGTTTGGATGTGCACCTTATCATCCTTTTGGACTTGTACGAGGTAAACACGGTTGATAGTTCGGCATATGGACATTGGAGAAGTAGTTCTTTAAACAGTGACTGAAATCCGTCCACATCCACCCCTGAATATTGAAACACACACTGTACATACCAGCGTGTTAAATGCTTCTTAGCAGGTTTTGTGCAGAGCAGATTTCGTTCAGGGAAATTCGTCGTTTTAGCGGACAGCTTCGCATTGGTCAAGGCATACAAGATGTGAGAAAATGATTTGGCATTGGCCAAGGCTTGTAAGCTAACAGATGAAGGGGGGCTGCAGATGAGTTGAGATGAGAAATCAAAGATACGTAGGCGAAGCAGAAGAGGCTTTTTTTGGAGACCCTTGCGCCGGTACCCTTACAGAGATGTTTTATAGTGAACTGAGTAAGGATACCATGAGCGATGAATACTATGAAAACTCAATATGAACAGAACAGCACGATTACTGCTCGAAAACAAATGCTTTCTTATTGACTGACATTTTTGACAACTTCAGAGATGCATGTGCGAAACCTAACTTCGCCTTTATACTTTACCTCACTTGGCTTCTGATGCTATGCTTAAATCAACAGGGATTGAAATACATTCAGTTTATGACCAATCTATGCATGAACAAGTTGAACAAGGATCAAGAGGACAAATGAGACAAACAACCTGCAAGAAAGTAGACGAAGCAACTGATATTCACATGGGTGGAAAAATCTGAATGAATCAGTGCCCACGTCTGGTAGCATCTCTCTAACATGACCTGAATCCTTTACAAAAGCAGCAGCCGCGGGATTTGAGGGGGGTTGCATTTATTTATAAATATAAATAGATATATAGATATAGATATGTGACACATATGCGTATATATGTATTCCCTTCAACTGGGTATGCAGCAAGTACCCCGAAAAGCGCCCGAGGGAGATAATTTCTCAAATTACAGCGGGGTCAAAGTAGGTAGCACAGCTAGAACTTGCATGGGTGACCCGTACCCTCTGCGACCAGGGTATCTCCTTTCAAGATTCAAGAGAGTCCCGCTACAAACCAAATGAAACAAAAATCTTCCAAATGCACAAGGCGCAGCTAAAGAAACATATTTGCCAGTCATGGCGGCCATGACCATGCCTCTTTAACCAACAGGTCAAACTAGACAGCATAGTGCTTGCTGGGTGCCAAATAGGGGGTCCGAAGAAATCAAACAATACTCCATCCCCTTGGGGGAAATCAAGCCAACATGTGCCGACCAGCGCGGAAGAAACGGTGCCAGGGGGCCATCCCCGCTGCCATGCTCCCAGTGAAAGCGAAGCTGGCGTCCCCCACATAGTTCGCGATGGCCAGCGTCCTGATCCAAACTGCTGGGAAGTAATTGTCGCGTGCTTCGTCCAAACCAAAGAAAGCCAACCAAGAACTAAGAAATGAAACTCAGCACTTCCAGCAATTTCTTTGTAGGACAAGCAAGAGTTTCCCTTTCACAACCAGCACTCTGCGCAGACTTTCGCCTCTCAGACGCATGAGCCGGGGATGGGTTTCCGTTCGCCCGAAACTCTTGTCGCTTTTTGCCCGGATCCAAACCTTGGAGGAAAACCAACCGCCGAACACTATTTCAGGCCCAACATGTTGGGACCCAAAAAAAGCCAAATTGGGGCCTCCCTTCACCACGTTGGCCACCCCCCGCCCCCACAACAAACTGCACCTCAGGCCCAACAGTCTCCCCCCCAACAAACAAACAAACAAACAAACACACCGCATTTAGGGCTCACCCTTCTCCACTCGGACCGACTCCCGTCCTGTCAATGGTCACCGCCTGGCGATCGCACAAAAGCAAGCCGCAGCCCAGAGCCGCCACCAGGGCCAGGCGTTGCCGCAAGGCCGCCTTGGCGCACTCCTCCTGGGAGAAGACCGCTTGGGGTTTGGCCAACTTTTTTCGGAAATCTGTTTTAGTAGGGGAACCCTGCCCCAAACAAGGGCAACAGGGCACTGGGAGACCTAGAATTCATTTCTGCGAACAGAGTAATGACCCCACCTTGGCACGCACAAAGGTCCCTGAAGGACCCCGTGTGAGATCCCAGAGCCCGCGAAAGGTGATTCACTGAACACCGACAGCGAAAGGATCTCCCAACTTGATAGGGAAGAATGTGCTCCCGAGTTCCATTTCCCAATGCTTGCGAAAGGATCACGGGTGTTTAAGGGAATCCAAGAGGCTAAGCTTTTTTTTGGGCGGTGCCGCCGTTAAAAAAGAACAACAACACCCAAATGATTCCAAGGAACCATGCATGGAACTCCAGGTGTCACTTCCTGATTCCTTTGTCTAGAGGGTGAGCACATCACAATAACCCCCACCCCTTTTCCAAAGGAACAGGGATGCACTTGGGGGGAACGTATGCCCCTGGACTGTTTTGGGCTTTTCCCCTGTGGGCTGACTCATTCCCCTCGGCTGAAGTCATGAGAACCTCGTGGTATACAAACCTGGTTTTCCCCAAGGGAAACGGGTACGTGTAAACAGACCCAAGATTTGTGACGGTTGCCCTCCGAAAGGTTGCCCTCCCAGCAGATCTACCTAAGTGTTTGGTTGAACGTTCCCTGTCACAAAAGTCTGGGTGTCATTTTTGGAAAGCATGAGGCACGCTAAAGGGAACTGAAACCAGTGCCACCTATGTCAACCAGATACCTAAGCTGGGATCTGCCCCTACATGTGGGCACCTTGCGTCTACAGATGCAACACATCTGTGAGAAGCAGCCAATTTATCGCTCTTTTTGCGCATACTTCTTAGGGGTGTCTCGAGACACATGCGAAGTGGCGAGGCCAAGCTCGTGCGAACCCGTCCTTGCCCAGCGAGGTCATGGTCAACATTGCACCCGGGAATCGGCATCCAGGATGCCAACCGTCTTTTGGTATGCACCTTCTTGGGAAGAGATGTTGCCTTGTCATCCGATATTGACGCTGCAAGCCGGAATTTAGGAAGTCAGGACCCTGAATGGGTGTCTCCTTTTTTAGGAAAATAACTCAATGGCTTCGTTTTGTTTTTTCTCTGGGCTGCCCTCAGACCCCCCGCTAGAAGTTTAAATTCAGTGGGTTAAATGGAAACTCCCACTAAACACAAGGCTAAAAAGCTATGGAACCGGATGGCTGGGAGCCACCAAGTTCTGGTTTCCTTTAAAACCACCCCGTGCAGCTTCCGGAGTCGTGTCTTGTGGGCTTTGGTCCAAGAGCTGCGGCGAGTGCCCGGTTTTGGCGCCATCCGGTTTTGGTGCGATAGCTAGGGAATGACCTTCTTCCGGGTTTTGGGAATGAACGCAGGGGTCCTCTCAAAGGAAAAACGGCAGTTGGATGGTTTATGGGGGTCATTCCCTCATTCTCCTGCTGAGAACCAGCAAGTGATTGATGACATAGTCAAACTAAGGGGCGAAAGGAGCTGGAAATCAAAGCTTCAGATCTGTCCGGCCTTCATGACCCTTCATCAGCCCGCACTCCGACAGGGCATTCGCTTCACTTGCTTTCTTACTCACAAGATCTCGCAAGGAAAATGACAAATCTTCCTTTGGGAAAGCACCCATTTTGCCAGGTTCGTGCTGATAGTGCGAATGGAGGGCTCTGAGTGTCCAGATTTTGGGTGGTTGCTGCCCCATCGCAAACCCGTTTGACCGGTCAATCAATAAATGCATTGTCCGAGATACCGTTCAATCACTTTAAATGAAAGGCCTCAAACAGGCGATTTGCCTGTGCTCCCAGGTTCCAAAGGCTCCCCAAGCAATCATAACTCTCTTCCTGAGTGCATCGGCAAAAAGAAGTATCCAAACCTCTTGTTTTGGCACTCTAAAAAAAGGAGCCCAAACCCAAAACAGTGGCTCAAGTCCAGCATCTCTTGTGTGCGCTTAGGGCCCGAAATTGTGACTCCAGTCCAACTCAAGTGAGACGAATTCGCCAAAGAGCCGCCAACTCCAAAGCCCCGCCCCGGACGCGAGGCCCGGAACGCGCCTCGCGGATGGTTTCCAGGGCGACCTCGTCTGGAAATCGGCCCATAGAGTCCTGCGGCTCTCCGAATTCATGCGGGGCTCGTCTGTTTTGGAGACTCTTTTCGGGTTGGTGTTCAAAAGAAACATGAGGAACGCCACGCATTTTGGAGGGTCCATTTTGAGACAGAGCCACATATATATATATATATATCACACTAACGTTTGAGCCAGGGTGAATGTGGGTAAATACTGCCTGGACTGTTTCGGAATGTTAGTGGGATTGGCTTAAGCATGCACTTAGCATCCCACTCGCTTGCCCATGAGTTTGGCAACAAAACCCAAGAATACTTACCCTCCCACCACTTAAGAACCTGACATGGGGTCCCATGTAAAAAAGGACAATGGTCCCCCTGTCAGGTTCCATGTTAGTTGGTGGGGGGGTATAAAACCCTGTCCAAATCCCCTTGCGATTCGCAACGCGATTTGCCGTGCATGGTGTGGCGCCATGATGCGCCATGTGACCTGTTGCAAACCTCAAGTCTTGGGGGCCATCCAAAGGGACTCCTTTTGGCAAGAGGAATTCTCGTTGATGGGGGTCCATTTCCTAGTGCTCTTGGCCTTGCTTCAGTTTTCGTGTAGGTCCCCGCTATTTGGCCCACTGTTTTGTGCGAGCACCCGCTTTGGTCGAAGCTGGGCCATGGCGAGTAAATAAGAGCAAATAACGCGCAACCCAGCCATAAATTAGGCTCAAGCTGGTGTGTCTGCCTTGGCGTCTGGCCGTCGGGCCAACACCCATCACCCATGCCTGCGCGTGCCTGTGTCCAAGTACAAACCGCCCCACCAAAAACTCAAACAAAAAGAACCACGCCCCGTCTCAAAAGGCCAATCATCCGAACCAACATCATGCAACTTGCATTTTTGACCCCCCCCCCCCGCCCCCCCCAATCCAGGATTCAGCAGGTGGTCATGCACCAATAGCCACAACGGTTCCGGCCGACTCGGCGAGCTCGGCGAAGTCCTGCAGCACGCGCAGCTCGCGGCCCAGCTCTTTGGTCACCAGGTCGGAGCGGGTGGCCATGGTCTGCGCCAGCCTGCCACACGAACGGAACGAGCCACTTCGGATGGCTGAGAGAGAAAAAAGAAAAAGGAAAAACCAACAAAAAACGGAAGACAAAAAAACAACAACCACAAAAACCAACAACAGCAACTGGTCGATGTTGCAGTTTGGCGGGAGTGGCGTAGATGAACTGGAACCCCCAAACAAAGATGGGATAGCACCGTTTTCTGGTCATTCATATTCTTACCAGGCGATGGTATGGAGTAGCGCCGTGCTACTGGGACAGTATAAGACCTGGTCGGTCAAATCCAGGCAGGTACCACCGGTACTGCTCACGCCGTGCCGTGGAGACCACAACAAGTACGGCTATGTTTTTTACTGAAAGTATTGTTTGTGTCTTTCTGGCTTACCTTTAGGGGGCCATTTTAGGATACGCCTAAATATCACCCCCAGGTTGCACATGCCGAATGCAAATCGACCTTTGTGCCTCTTGGATGCCTAGTCTTCGACTAAATTGAGTCCCCGAAATGCTACAAAAACCCACATCATTTGAATGCGCTGACTGTTCGGGTGAGAAACAGTTGTGGGTGTCGCCAGGCATCTTCCCGTTACACCTCACTGGAACTGGGGCTGCGGCTTCACGAAGACAGTGCCCAGGCTCGAGACCTGTCCCAACTTGCCGAACTTTCATTTTCTCAATCGAAACACCTTACATTGGGACTGGGCTTTTACAAAAAACAAACAAACAAACAACACCACTTGCATTGAAACCCTTTATATCCACAAAACGCCGGGCCTGGGTGTTCCCCCAAAATGTGGACCCTCCCTTTTGGGTGGCCAAGGGAAAGCCGAACAATCCACTTTGACATGTTTAGGACATTTCAGGGGCCCGTGCACGGAAACAAGGCGTTTCTTGGGTCAAAAATTGCCGGACAAAAAGGCCTTGAGCCTCGGGGGGTGATGTTCGAAATGGCGGACCCCCTTTTGGTTGGTATTTACACGGAACACAACAGAAGCACGCCATTTTAGGCGACCCCTATTGCTGAGAAACGCCCAAGTGGGTTTAATCCGGTGTTTTCTTGTTGACCTAACTTGTTCTGCGCTATGCGAATGGCTTGATTCTTGAGGGGTTCTGCGGCAACCAGGAATTCTGAGCCTTCTCTTTGTTAGGAGCATTCCTCAGGGCAAAGCCGAGCTCAACCCCCAAATTGCAGTTCAAGCAACACTATGGGCACCTCATTCAGACACCACTGCAACACCTACAGCCCCTGCAACTCAAAGGCACCTCTCCAGCCAAAGACTGCAACGGTACCCTGCAAGAGCATCCTCTCACAGCACTCTGCCAACATGCTTCATATCACACCCCGATTCCAACAGCAACCTTCTCAAAAGCGTCACACACACATGATATCACATGATTCTCCCTACGTGAAGTAACCCCTATAAGTGTTTCTCAAAAATCGGGGACTTGTCCAGGTAGGGAGTTTTGCTTTTGGCTTCCCTTTCAACAGACCCCGGGTCGAGTCTTGAGAACCCCCTCCTATAGCTTTCGGCCCACAAAGGCCAACCTCCGCCGAGCCAAAAGGACGAGCTCTTCTCGGCGCCTCGTCGCGCAGGCGCTGGCCGCGCTGTTGCTGGGGCTGGGCTTCATCCTGCCGATGTGGCATGGCGCCCAAAACCGGCTGAGCGAACTGTAAAGAGGGATCTCGAATCACCAAGGCCCCCTTTTGCCTTTGCGATAGCGCACAGTGTCTGTTCGACGCAGTGGTTTATTGGGGGGAGGGGGAAAGAAGGAGAAACCCATTCAGTGAGTAGAGCCGGAATTCTATCAGAAAGGTATTGGATTCCTTGCCTGGCAAACTCCGCTGGATCAAAATCTGTTAGATGCCAGGAAAGGCAATGGGAACCGGAAAGAGGATTGCCACTTCGGCCCAAGAGCAACCAAGTTTTGCACGGAAGCTTTTTCTCTCTGCGAACGTGCCAAAAGGCCCCCTGCACGGAGACGTAACATGACGTAAAGCAAGCACATAAGCCTTATCCTCCGACTGTGCAGCATTATTCTCAGACCTGATCCAGCCAACCCTAGCTATGTCTTCCGCCCAACTCAGCTGCAACCAGACAACCTTGAATCAACCAACAAACTGCTGTGAACTTCCGTCTCACAGACGAACGAAGGGGAACGTGGCAGATTTCACTGGAGGCTACCAACAAACTCCTGCTTGAGGCATGCAAACTTTAGATCCCTTGCAGTACTGGACGCCATCTTGGATTTATGGCCATGGATTTATGGCCAACACAGCCCATGGCGATTCCGTCAGCCTGCCAGGCAGTCCGCGCCGCATTGATCCGTGACACTACCTGCCATGGCCGTGCCGGAGGGAAGCGACATGATCGGGTCAGAGACATGATCGGGTCAAGTTGTACCCGTTTTGACGTCACCAGGAACGGACCTGGAAGCACTTTTGCTGACCAGGTTTCGCAGACCAAGGAAACACCCAAAGGTTCAAAGGTCGGCTTTGGGGGAAGTGAGATGATGACTTGTTTTTGAAGCACCCCACAACCTCATCCTAATTCAGGACTTCTTCTACAGTGAATCCGCCGTTTGGGGAAGGACCCCCGTTTCCAAGCGTTTTTCGGCGCCACACACTCTGCATGCAGCAGCGTTAGGTGTGTCAAAATAGGTGTTCAAGAAACGATCGCGAGGACACCTCACGCGCCCAAAGGTCAAGGACACGGTTTTTGCAGATAACTGTTCGTCAAGCTTAGTTCACGTACTTGCCAAAGAACGTAAACTTTCAAGCACTGAGGGGCACGCACGCACACACACACACACACACTACGTAGAAGAATCCCTCAACAGAACTGAAGCCTCGCCTCCACGAGTCTCGACACTGCACGCAGCGGGTTCTTCCCATAGTACCTGTCGGAAAACGAAGCAGCCCCAGGAACGCAAACGCTCAGTCACATGGAAAGAGTTGGTGCGAAAACACAGATATGCCGCCTGGTGCCTGGTAGGAACCGCAAGCCGGCGGACACAATTACTATCATGACCCAGTAATCCGAGTCATGAAAGCATGACAGTCTTACGTGCTGCTCACCTGTTGGTCAATTAGAACAGGTGGCACCCCACAAGTACCACCAAGCAAAAGACACCTAGTGATTGTCAATGCTAAAAGGGCGATGCGTATGACTTTCAATGATTGATGGTTCAATCTGGCCTCCTTTTCGGCAACATCCCTATGTTGCTATCAGCCCACCAATCGGAGACTCAGGCGTGGGACATATCTGATGCTACTCCGAAAGATCCCAGAGCACCTACAGCAAACTCCGAGTGGGCAAAAAGGGGAGCACCATTGGCAAACAGGGAAGCGGCCACCCTTTTGGGGTTGTTTTACGAGGAAACTGCACAAAAACCAACGACAAACCACTTAATGTTGACCCCTGATCAATCGACCCCCACTTATAGAAGAGGGGGGGGCGTCCCCTAGAAGAAAGGATTCCCCACTAAAAAGGGGCCCCTCCTTAATAATTGGGGGGTTTGTTCATCAGACAGGTTTTTTTGTTTTTTTGTGGGGGGGGGGGGGGCTGCCACACACCTTTCCTAGCTTTGCCATGGGACCCACCCCCATCGGCCCATCGGCACGCATCCAGGGCAGGACCATCGTACTTGCCGGCCACCGGCGCGCTAGAAGCCGCCGAGGCCGTCCGAAGTCCTGACCAGCTGCATCTATCAACCCCTCGGTGCGTTGTTTAGATTGAGGAAGAGACGTGTGTGTGTGTGTGTGTGTGTGTGTGTTTCTTTTTCTTTTGGTGGGGGGGGGGAGGGTTCCTCTTCTTGTTGCAGTACCTCGTTTCGGTAGGTGGTACAAGGAAAACAAAAGAAAAACTATCATGCTGTGGGGGTGGGGGGGACCCTAACCCAAATGATCATCCACCTTTGGCATGCTGTCGATATGACTGGGTGGGTGAGTCTTCCTCTGTTCATCCTTCCTTCCCTCTCGCCTCTCGCTCATGTCCATCATCTGTCTGTGAGAAAGCTTGAGGAGGGACTCTGTGGTGGCATTTTTAAGCCTCCTCTTTCTGAGTCTTTCGTGAGCAACCCTTCAGAAAGCGAGCCTCAAGAAACACATCATATGTGCCGTTTGAACCATTCTTTTCAGGAATTGTCCACCACAATTAGGAGAAAACGGTACCTAGATAGGATTCTGAAGATTCCCAGAAATATCGATGGCTTGGACATCCCTTGGTTTCCTCAACAAATCAAACAACACAGGGTTTCTAGAGCCCAACCGTTCTTGGAAACTTCTACTTGCCTCACCCGACCAAGACACGGCGTGCCTCGCGTTCTTCTCCTCCTGGCACAGGGCTCAGGCATGGCCCCGGCCAAAAGTCCATGTGGGATGTGAACCCCCGGTCGCCGGACAAAAAAACAAAAATATTCCATTCCCCTCTGAAAACTTAGGCCAAATTTGGGGGAACCAAACAAAGGCTCGGTTCAACAGCATGCCTCACTCGTGGTAAAAAACCTACGGCGCATGGACCTTTGCATCGCCAGCCGACTGAAGTCACACCTTTCGCTGCCAGTTCCTCGGGCTTTCCAAACTGAAGCCAGACCCCGCAAGGACGCAAACGGCGGTTCGCGTGCCGTAGAAAGGAACCAAGCAAGCTTCCATTTGCTTGAGCTTCCCCGACAAAAAGTATTTCCAGTAGTGACAAGCCCCCTTTAACACATTTTGAAACCAACAAGGTAAAACACGAAACAAAACTGGAAGCAGCTGGAGGCAACCAACCAGCCAGCCAGGGCCGCGCCAAGACCCAGAAGCGTCGCAAAAGCCGCCTCCGCGCCAGCGGCACAAGCAGCCCTGCCTTGCGGAAGCTCCAAATGGAAACCTAAGGGACCTGCCAAGCATCATATGTGTCTCGCTGTTGTAGGGTACCCCTTTTCTTCCTTTTTTTAGGGAGACCAACAGGAAGACCCTCTGTTTTTGTGTGGGTCTGCCTAAAGCAAGACACACCCATAATAGTTTACCCAAAGAAAAGCAGGGATCGCATGCGCAGGCAATTCGATTTCTCAACCAGCCGTGAGTTGCTGCCTTGGAGCACCTGGTCTTGGCCCACTGCGGTCCCACTCCGACTCGCCGCCTTTGCTTACCAACAAATGCTGAGGGTTGATGGAGGGTTTGCTTGGCCAGAAGGGAGCCCTATGAGGCATCTCCATCATTCAAACATCATGTGTTTACCTAGCCCATCCTAGCCCCTCCCCCCCACATTGAAGCATTCAAGGCGGTCATACGCAGCACACGCTGAAGTGAACCATTTGAGGAGCGCCAGCTTTGCGGAGGCGAATTGCGCCGATTTCAGAAAGCCCCGCTTTGGTGGGCTGTACTTACCTTGAGACGACGACTTGCTCACAACATCTCAACGCAGAAGCTCGCAGGAGACCAACTGGCTTTCGGGAGAGGCTGTCAAAAGGGGGCATTCTTTGTGACTGTGTGGGGGCAAGAATCTTGACCTCCTTGTGGAAGAAGCAGCCAGGGCATGAATTCCTGTGCCCCTCTTGGCTCAGTTAGCCATCTTCTTAACCTTGTTTGTCGGTGTTTGGTCAAACGCCGTCAGTATGACGCTCTTGCATGGGGCTTTCCACACGCCCCGACGCCCCGTTCCCCTCACACTCGCCGCCGCGCCTGCAGCCACACCCTGCCTGCCAGTTTCCTCGGAGCACCAGCGCGCCAAGCCCCAATCCGAGTAAGGCACAGCAAGTGAGCCTTCCGCATGGAGACGCTCCAGGTGCTTTTTTGAATTGAGGGACCGAGGAGAAGTCCACTGTTGAATAAACCATCTTTACAAGGCGAGCCAACCTATGGTGATTAATCCGGAAGATTACTTACTACTGATCCCAATCAGGATTTTGACACGACCTGCACGAAGGCTTTGTACAAATAGCAAGAACCAGTTCAACAAATCAGCTTGCACCTTCGCAAGTGGACAGTTTCCATCATTGAACCTGTGACCTGTGACGCTTCCGTCTACTTGAACGAATGATATAAGCTCCCGAAGTCGCCCCGTCTCCTTCTGCCTGCTTTTGCGCTGTCGGACTGCCGCATGGATCCGAGGCCAAGGAGTGTTCCCTACCGGCCAGGGTCTCGGGGTGCCATTTGCCCACGCCGCAGCCAACTCCAACGGCGAATTTTCCTAAGAGAGCCCACGTTGTGTATGTTTCTGAAGCGGAACCGACGGGAAACCAACCGCCCATAGGTGCCCCCACACGAAACAAGCCAATAGAAATGGCCAGCACAAGGTGGAGATTACCCAATCAAGAAAAAAGTCGCGCCCCCCAACAAAACAGTTGCCCATCCAGCACCTCGTCACCTCCCCACTTGTCTCCCCATATGCCTCGCTGGCTTGTGGCTGCTAACTTGGACCTTGTCGCGGCTTGTCTTCTCACTTGTCTCCGCACTTGTCTCCTCACTTGTGTCCCCCACTTCTTCCCACTTGCCCCGCTTGGTGATTCGGACACCTATTCGGACGACTCCCGTGTCGACAGCTTGTCTCCCACTTGTGTCCCCCAGCTTGGCCGCCTGTGCAAGACTAAACTACCTCCCACGGGAGACTGACAAGGAAACCCAAAGGCTTAGCAAGGTTCTTCTTTTTCCCGCTCAAAACCAAACCAAGCCGCGATGAATGGCTGTGCCAAAGCGACCGTGGCCGCGTCTTTTTCTCAGGGGATCCCGTTCTTTTGTTTGTTTGTTTTTTTAAGGAAAACCAAACACACGCAGTTATCAACCAGAAGATAAGAGCTACCTACTCCAAAAAACACCCTTCCAAACAGTTGAACAATGATTTCGTCGGGAATGTACATGATAGCAGTGGCGCAGTGTTGACGTCCCTTCAGGCCTTCAAGGGGGGGGATGGCTAAATTAAGGGAATTGTCAAACAGGTACCCCTGTAAGGCTTTAAGAGCCTGAACGTGGGGCCTTGGGGCTTTCCAATGAATCCATTGGCGGATAGGCGCAATTTCACTGGACCCGGTGAAACATCAGTCAAGCTCGTCCATGTCCTGCACCTCCTGGCCCGACAGGTGCTGGCACCCGCCGAGATTTCCCATGCCACAAGTGGCACACTGCGGCTTTTGATTTTGAGTTGGATCAGGACAATAACTATTGACTGAAGGTGGCAAGTCCAAATGCGAAACGCGCAACACTTGGCCATTTTTTCATGGCCCTAGGGCATGGCTTGCGGATTTCCATGTGTTGGTTTGTGTGGTCCCAGCCTAGGGTGCACAAACCAAACCTACAGGGTTTTGTTCTTCTCGAAGGGACGGCAGTCTCTCACGGCAGTCTCTCACACCGGGTGGTGCCTCACCTCTTAGGATTGGAGAAGGCCGCCTTGAAACGGAACTCGACACATGGGAGCCTTTTCTTGGTTGCGGCAACGACCCGCCTGCAACAAGTTTTTAACTTTTTTGGGGCTTTGTGGAAAAGACCTTTATTTCAACCAAAAAGTTAAAGCTTAAAGATCCAACCCAATAGCAGTCAAGTTTTCATGCCTTTTCTGGAAACCCAAAAATGCGGGGCTTGGGGGGGGGGGGGGCGGGGGCATTCAAGCGAGCCAACTCAGCTTAATTCAGATATCGGCCCCAGTTCGGGCGTTCTGTTTGGATTGCTCGAAAAGGACGCCGAGAACCAGAAAGAGTCCGCGCTTCACGTCAACAAGCATTGCCATCGATCTTGGCGAACGATGTCAACAACAGGCGCGCAGCGGTTTTCGCAGTCCCGAGATTCCTCCAGGAGATCCCCATCTTCTGGCACTTGGGTCCTGTCAGGTGGCGAAGGCCATGCATAATCTGACCCCAGATCCTATTGATGAATCTCCACTGAATTTAGGGACATTCCCTGACAGGATTGGTGTATTAGTCCGGGGCCGACATGACCAAATTTGAGTTCTACTGCCCTCCGACTAGGATAGAAGGCATGTGCCAGTAGAAAACCACTTACAGGCGGATTACTTTGGTTTCCCCTTGGCGGTCATGGTTTGCAGCAAGTCAATAAAATAAACCAAAGATCATTCAGTGAACACGCTTAAGAGTTCAACTTTTGGACAAATGTAGACAGTCGGGCCCCTCCCCCATAAACATGCAGTGGTTTGCATTGCGAACCGTCGTTGAACTCTCCACCACTTGCTACTCTGCAATTGCTGGAGTCAGCCAATTCTGTGGCAGCAATGCTGGGCAGTGCCTCCTTTTATATACAGTTGGATCTTGACATCCTGTGCTAAACCATGTGCTATTGTACACTTCTGGCAGGCTGACCTCAACCCCGGACATTAAATTTATGACCTCCATCGAGCAACTCGCGTACTGGGTTCTGGGTTCTGGGTTGAAGGTGGTATAGGCTTCCTAGGCACGATGGCAACATGCTCGCATCAAGAACGCCAAGTGCAACATCTTGGTGTCTGTACCAAATTCCGAGACCTACGCCAGTCATACATTTCAGGAATCCCCTAGCGGCCCCGTTTTGCTGTGAGATCGCTACCAGTGCACGCTTCGGAGATCAAGGAAGAGCACGTACTCATCAGAGGGTCTCTCCCCAAAAGAGGGACCACAGCTCGCTATGTCGCTTGTGGTTCTCTGACTCCTTGTTACTTGGCCTCTGTGCACCAACCTCCTACCAAATCAACAAACTGAAAAGGTCCAGGGGAGACCACCCTTTGCCTTACAACAACCTCACCTCTTGGCAAAACCGGGCCAGAAACAACGGGGTCTTTGGCTTCCGCGTGAGAACATGTGAGAAAAGCACCCGGGGTCTTTCTCGCCTTTCGGCCCGGTGCCGTGCCAAACACCAAAAACGGGTCCAGGCCTCCCGAGCACGTGGCGCCGCCGCCGCCGGTTCTCGGATCTCCCGCCGGCGGCGCCCAAGACTTCTGAGCACAAGCCGGTCCTCAGAACATGGCCTAAGAACTCACTTCCCATCGAGTAGGCCCCAAAAAAAATAGGCCAAACTGGTGGAGCAAACCTCATTGAGGGGCGGGCCTTGGGCTTATTCGGGCTCCCTCCACCCCCTCGACTACAAGACCCAAACAAATGAGGCCAAACTGGCGCTTGTCTACCACTAAAACGGTCTTCTCAAAAAGTTGGAAGTCCAAACTCAGGAAGTGAGCCCAGGGTTCCGTGCCCATTCCATGGATGAAAAATGAGCCCAGCCGGGGGATAAATACCCATGGTTTTAATGGTGGTTCGAAACGGAGGGCATGTAGACCTCACTTCCGATCGAGATGGGCCAAATAAAAGTTTGAGCTTCTTGTTTAGCACTGCATGACTCAATTCCAGGAACGGGAGTGCATGAGACAATTCCAGAGTTTTGCACTTCTTTCCAAGGAACCTTTCCAGAACATCACAGCGGGAAAGCAGTTAAAACTGCAGATTAATCTTCAGAATGAAACCTTCCCACTCCCTTTCCAAGAAGACAGCCCTAAATTCAAAGAAGCCGTTTGCACGTCCATGCTACTGGTGGGATAGCTTCGAAACCTAATCGATTGAAGTCATCCCAAGCTTTGACACAGTGCCAAGCAGTTGCACGTGGGCTTTGGCTTCAAATAGCTGAAGCACCATTTCGGATTGACCCAGGCCCTGGCCACATGCCCATGTCACTTTTCAAATGGTCTGAGCCCAACGCATCCCACAGCCCACAGCCTTTGCTTTTCTGCCAGCTGACAACTCCGGGACTCGCGCACTCCTTTTCGCACGCCATGCGCCGGAAGCGCCGGCTTCAACGAGTGACCCTGGCAAAAGAAACGCTTTGCGCAAAGCCACGCTTTGCGAAAAAGAAACACGGCCGAGCTGGGAAGCACGGCCAGTCGCACCGATTTGAACTCACCGTGACAGCAGCCCAATGGCCAGTCATCAACCTTCCACTTGCCACATATTCCTATGCAAACGGAAGTAGATTACAAGATGGGTGTGCCTCTAGGGGAACCACTAAAACGGCACGAAAAGGGACAAAAGGGAACCAACCAGAATCGCCCCAATCTTGAGCACACCCATAAAAACCCGGTGTCGCCAAAGGTCACGAAACGATTCAGGGCTCTTCGGATCTCCTGGCGGCCGGGGGGCCATCAAGGAACTAGACAATAAATGGGTTTCCCTGGCCAACGCGGCAGAAAACCAACCTAAGCCAGTGGACCCCGTCTACTATAACCAAACTAACCCAAAAAGGACACCGATGGTTTTTTTGTCTGAATGTTCTTGGCATTGCAAATGCCTTTGCGGATTGTTGGCGGCGGCGTGTTTAACGATACATGTGGTTGCTTCGACCCCACATTGCAAGCGAAACAAGTAGGGGCAAGCTCTTGAGAAGCCATTTTGCTCGTTGCTTTTTTGAGCCTCGTCAAGCAAGGATCGCTTTCTCATTCACTTCACCCATTGTTCTCCATTCTCGTGCGGCCCATGTTGACCAATTTTGTTGTAGAGCAGGATCTCTGAAGAATGGGAATACAGCTGGAACTCTGCAGAGTCGAAACCTGTGCTCCAAAACCTGTGCTCTTGAGCCTCATAAAGCTGGGCTGTCTTCGGATCCCCTGCTAACAGTTTAACTTTTAGTTCGTTAAATTGACACCACCACTAAACCCTAAAACCTAAAACCTAAAGGTACAGCTGGACAACACCCAAAAAAGGCCTTCATCACGTCCACTTTCACATCAGCAAGCCGGTAAGATTG